AATTTCTTATTGGCTACATTAAGCAAGGTATGTAAAGCATACCTTTTTAGACATTTACGAAAGCGACATCGTAAGATTTTATCATTTCGAAATATTCATTGGCAAGCGTATTCAGTTTTTAATTTTCTGAAGTTAATTTTTGTTTGTTTTCATACAGTACGAATACTTAGTTTGTCAATGATTGAATGTTTCAATTTTTTTCAAAATCAATTCGAAAACCATTCTTATTATTTATATTCGTGTATATATGTTATCGTTTCGATATAAAAGATCTAATGGAATAAAATAATGATACTCCAGAGGTATAATTGAATATCTACTTGATGATCATGCTTTTCAATAGTTGACAAGAAAAAGTTAAGAAACGATATAATTAATCGAAATAAAATCATATTACACCAATTATTTTATTGTTTTCGTCCTATATATATTAGCAAATAAGACGAAATAAACGTCTGATATGTAAAAGTTATTCTCTACAATTATTAATGGTTCAATTTGATGCATAGAAAACATGAATTATCGTAGTGTCATACCTACTCTTTATGTATTGCAATTTGCATGGTTTACTGTTGAGAATAAACAGATTGGTTACTTTTACTTTTTTTTATTCCTTCTATCAAGCATAAAATTATCGATTTTCAAAAATGGACTCATTGACTTGATAATCAAAAGTTAATTTCAGAATGAGTTTAATCTTCAACCCATGTGGCATGTTTATTCGTACTACCGCTAGTAGGATTTACGACTTTCGAATGTAGTTATAAACGATTGCACAAAGTATTTTCTACTCAAATTTGAATCATTTATTCGAAAAACTTCAAATTAAACAAGACGAAAAGAGTTTCAAAATATGTTTTACTAGTCAAAATGGAAGAAACCTCCAGTATCGCGCGCATTATATGTGAAGAGCCTTGTCTACTCATCATTAAAAACAACGAACTTGTTTTGCATTAGTGTTTGTCCTTTCGTCATTTCGTAACTAATTAGGGCGATGATTCTGGCTTCCGAGAACAAGCAGATTTCTGGTTAAAAATTCTTCGGGTTTTTTTCCGGTGACTTATGGTCATTTTGAATTGAAAATAATAGTAAGATGACTGAAGACAACAGGAAAAATCAAGAGATTTTATAGTCTGGAATACTGTCTCCATGCTCTGTTGATTTGTAGCGTTTGTCGATCGAAATCAGTCCGTATACGTTCATCTAGGTATTAGAGTCACTATATTGGCAAGTTCTACCATTGTATCATCTTTATATATGGATGAGATGTGGATATGAATTAAGTCTCCTCCACATGGACACTAACACCCACAACTACACGCACGAGTGAAAATTTTTCTTTGATATTATCTCATATGGAGGATTATCTAAAAGAAAGCATCTATCGAGTTTCTTTCGACGTTGAATTAGTTTTAGTTTTGTTTTATCAAAAAACAAATCATAATAGTACTCAATAAGATCAATCCTTCGTTGTAGTATGAAATATTTAAACCAACTATTTGAATGCATTATGTAATAAATTGACTATGACTATGAATTTACTTGGCTTGCTGAGAATATACCTTACCCTCACATATATTTTGTTGGTTCATACTAATAAATATTCTATACTCCATGCTACATTCCAAAACAAATATATTGACCACTAGCTTAAGTTAGATTATATACTTAAATTAAGCACACCCTATTCTCGCTCTTGAGATACGCTACAAGCCAACATAAATTGAATAAAATGTTCGATGTCATATTATTGGTTTTGCAAGTGTTAATAACTTATTGAGTAAATTCACTCTCTTTCGAAAATTGATCAGATCAAACTTAATAGTAGCATAGCTTTACATATTTCTTATGATTATGTTCATTTCTACTGCGTTGCTCTTTTACCTAAATATAATGATTGTGAGTCACATCCTTATCTTCGCTATTATATCATTCGATACGAGATTGAACAACAGATGATAATGTGAAAAATTCAATCATTCAATATTGTTACAGTGACATCATCCAACTGCTCACTCTGTACGGAACAATTTATTCTGCAAATTTATCGAATTATTGCAAGATAGAGTATAACTAAAGTAGATTAGGTTGATTTTTAGAGCAAAAAAATTGATACAGGTAATATTTCGTCTACCGTTAAATATTTAAAAACAAAAGTAATATGTCAATAAGCATGTTTTAAAAGTAAATTTTGTATCATAAACATCAATAATAAATTCAATGGTTTTATGATTATTCTATTTTGAAAAGCGATCCCAAGTATTTATGGCAAGCTTATATATCAGGAACAACTAATCATCAGATTGCTATTCTTTATCATGATGAACCTTTCTCTAGACAATTAAGTGTATATTCTCTTCTCACGCCAAATGTATTTTTAGCCTTTCTCTTTTAATTTAGTCCTCATATTTATACTTTGGAATTTTCAGGCAAGACTTTTAGTACAATTGTGATTAGTACGAATCATTTGAACATTTGTTACGCCGGCAATATCATTCTCTATTAGCATAGTTTCAATATCAAAACCAAGAAATTTTGTTGAAATTTTCATTGGTTTCGGTCAAATGAGAGAACTTCCCTGAGGATATTAATATGAAAAGATTCCACATCAAGTTTCACTTTTCTTTGTAATTTAAATTTAGTATGAAAATTGTTATGCTTTTTATCTTGAAAGTTGTCCTAAAATTCTGATGAATGTCTTGCTTTCGGTTTTTTTACGAAAATTTGAAAAAAAAGCCTTTTCTAAATAATTCAATGATTTGTATTAACCTTGAAGGCTCCAATATATTGTCTTCTTATGGAGTAAAGTCTTCCAGGTATACATACTACGCTTATTTAACATAATGAGTAAAGACCAACTTGAGGTTATAAGCTAAGAGATCATGTCCATCCCCATGGCTTCACTGTCACCAATGCTCTCA